GGGGGGGGGTGAGAGGCTGAGAGGAGGGCAGGAAGCCAGGCCAAACCCCAATAAACTGCTGGTGGAATCGAATTGCAAATAATCAGTCCCGGATCGCCAAGGTTGCTTCCACCCTCCTCTCCTGGGAATTCAAAGTCAAAGGGCAGAGCTGCTGACGCAAATGTCAGGGGGACGGTGGTTTGAAACAGCTGGGATCCTGCTCCCCGGCTCTACTGCCTGAGGTCACAGGCCCCGGCGCCCTGGACACCGTGTCCCTCGGCCGGCCGGCCGGGACAAGAGCAGGCTGTCTCACTCACACGCAGGGAAAGGGCCCTGCTCCCTCTCCCTCCTCCTGCTTTAAGGTCATCAGAGCTCACTGGGGCAATGGCATGGCCACCTCCTGGGAGCCGGGAGACCTGCAGCCCAGCACCCTTTGAGCCCCCACACCCCTACAGAGGGAGACACCTCCACCTCCCTGCGAGGGGGAGCCTGCTTCCTCAAACCCACTGTGCCCTGCCCCCTCACTTCCCTGATGACCCTGCGGCAGCTCCTGGTCCGTGCACCTGCGGTGACCCCCAGTGGCGGGTGCAGCACTTGAACATGGACCTTGGGCAAGGTGGACCTTGGGCAGGGCTGCTAAGGCACAGGATAACTGGCACACTGCGGTGTGAGGTAAGGGGGTTGCTGGCATTTTGTGGGTGCCAATGTTCCCTAGTCGACTGGGGCTGCATGGCGGTCTAAATGTCCTACTATTAGCCGGTCAGTGTCAACATGTCTAAGAACGAACTCGTCATCTGTTAGCCCTAACCCTCCTCCTGACTTCCCTATTTCTATTAATAGCTCCGTCACCCCTCCCAGTCCCCCAGGCTCCAAACCTGAGTCATCATCAGCCCTCACCCACACTGGGCTGGGTGCTTGGTCCCGCCTGTTCTCTCTGCAGGTCACTCTTCCAGCCTGCTCTTGGATGCTTGTGGCCTCTGCCCAGTCATCTCTCACCTGAGCCACGCCATCCGCCACAGCGCCACAGGGTGAGACCTGGGCCCGTGACCTGCCTCCTCTACTTCCTGGCTGTGTGACCTTGGGCAAATTACTCAGTCTTTCTGACTCTCCGCAGCCTTAGCTGTGATGTGAGGATGATCACAGTCCCTATGTCATGAAGCGCCAAGTGAACGAAATGGCAGAACGGCCCAGTGGTGGCCTAAGCGGTAGGGCACTGCTGCACAGGGCCAGCGCCACGTGGCGGTCCAAGTTTGGATCCCAGACCAAGCTACGACAGGCTGGGGGTGATGGGGTGCACCTGTAATCCTGTCAGAGGGTACGCAGAGACCCTGTCCCACAGGAAATACTCGATGCGGTGAATTTTCAGAGACCATCCAGTCTAACGCCTCCATTTTTTGTTTGTTTATTTTTGCTATAGGGCATATGTGTGCTCCAGAGAGAGACAGAGAGAGGGAAAGTGAGAAATCGCCCCCCAGTGGGACGGCCACACCACAATCTCTTTTCCGCCATTCTCCTCTTCCTCTCCCGTCATTCTCCTCTTGGGATTTTCGGCATGTACACTCATCCACCATGATTCTAAGTTGCCAGGTCCGGGATTCAAACTGTGGTTGACCAGGTGGGAGTCCAACACCTTTCCCACCATGCCACCTGCTGGCCCCGCAACTCCTCCATTTTATAAACAAGGAAAACTGAGACCTAGAGAGCTGGAGCCAGGGCTAACATCGGGCGTTGAGTTCCAGGGGTCTTCTTGGAGAGATTTTTTGCTGTAGGGCATGTCCGCTTGCTGGAGAGACAGAGAGGCAGAAAATGAGAATTCACCCCCCCTCCCAGGGAGAATGGCCACACCACAATCCCTGCTCCTCTGTTCTCCTCTCAGGATTTTGGGCATGCATGTACACATGGCTGGCGTGAATTTTTAAGCCGCTGGGTTCGGGACTCGAACCGTAGTTGACTACGTGGGAGTCTAGCGGCATAATCATTACACCATCTGCTAGTCCCAAGTTCCAGGCATCTTTACATGTTTCAGAGCCAGAGTCTTAGATGCTCCTGGAGCCATGGAGCTCCTTCACTCCTATAGCCAGCGTTACCGTCTGGAGCCCAGAACAAAAGGCCACCTCGGAGAGCACTGGGCCCATTCCCCTGCCGACGGGCAGGTGTGCCTGGGGAAGTGTTGAGGTCCCTCAGCCACAGGAACCCCAGGGCGTGTCCAAGCGCTGAGTCAGGGCAGCCCGTCTGCAGGGGTGATGAGTGCCTGGATGGCCCAGCTGCCTGCCTCCACACGCAGGGCCGAGTCCACACAGCAGCTAGCCAGAAAGGACAGGCCCAGCTCCCTCCACCGCCGCCTTCACATCCCACTCCACCACACCGTCGCCCTGCCCCGTCCCCACCTGGCAGGAGGCAGCAGTGGCTGAGCTAGCCCCACAGCCAAGCCTGCTGTCCCCAGTGCAGGTACTCTTCATAGGCACCTGGAGTCCCCTGAGTCTGGGACATCAGAAGTAGCGGAGTCCTGCTCTGGGAAGGGGGTCACGGCTGTCAACAGAGTTCAAAGGAGACTTTTACCTGCAAAGAGGCAGCTGCAAGTAAAGCAGGTAGCCGGGCTTTCGAGTCAGATGACCCAGGTTCAGACGTGGGCTTCTAGAGTCCCTGGATGCCTATGGCCCAGAACGTGGTTCTCACAAAGGGAAGAGTTTGCTTGCAGGGGCATTTGGCCAGGTCTGAAAAGATTTCTGGTTGTCACAGGGGGTAGGGGTAGTGTGGGATTTGGAGGAGCTTCCGAGGCACAGAGTGGGCCACAGCAAGGCACCCAGCTCCAAGTTGGGCAGCGCCGCTGAGAACCCGGGTCTGTCCAGTGGGGAAATGCCTGCCTTGCAGCTGCTCTGAGGAAGCAGGAAAGCAAGGCACGTGGAGAACCCGGGCCGGGGCCTGGGGCCCGCTCCATGGTGGCACAGGGCCTGCATGGCCAGGGATGCAGTGGGTGGTTAGGGGCAGAGGTGCGGAGGCAACAGGTTCTGACCTCTGCACTTGATGTTCGCCCTGAGAGCTCGAGGTTCCCACCCTACCCAGCCTGGGGCAGGGATTCGAGACCATGCTCATAACTCTTCAGTGAGGAAGAGGCAGGCCCTGGTAGGAGAAGCCCAGCCTTAGACCCTCACCTTTCCTCCTCTCAACCCTCAGACTCCATCCCACTGGCCCTTCACTAGCATTTCTGATGGTGGAAGGGGAGAGAGGATGGCAGTGTGTCCTGCAAGCTCAGCTGCAGCCTTTGGGAAGACTGGGGGAGGAAGGAGGGTCCCTGCAGGGGCAGCTCTACACAGAGGCAGGGGCACAGTGAGGGGACCTCTGGAGGTGGTGAGAGGCTGTCTGGAAGATCAAGTCCCCGCTGCCACTCAGCTGAGGTCACCTGCTTCTCCTCCAGCCTTGGTAGCGGGGTGCGTGCGTGTCTCCTCTACAAAAATTGTCCCCAGATACTGTCTTCGCCCCAGAACTGGATGGTGCACTGAGTCCTGCACGGCTCCAGGGAGCTCCGCCCCGTCTGGTGGACCCAACCCTAGCGCAGTGTGTGATCAGAGACCAGGTCAGAGGGGGCACACGACAGCTGCGACCCTCACACCCTTCCCAGCACTGCCATTTGTTGGGTCTGGGGGATTAACTACCCCCCCCCCGC